AAGTACCTCTACAGCTAATGTGATTTTTCCACTAATCTCAAATGAATGAACTTTCCCTTCCAGAAAATACGTTATTTTATGTATGTATTTCTTTACCGCAAGAGCCCCGCTTATGCACACATTTGTGCATTTCTAAACACTGTCTGTGATGTCACACGCAGCTTGCATCAGGGCTCATTTGACCGTATAAAGTTTATTTGAATAGCACGCGGTTGGACTGGCCTGTTGGAGCGGAGATACTGTGATGGAGGAAAATACTATGACAATCACACAAACATTGCACATATGGTTTCTATGTTCCCTATGTTATATAAACCACGGCGTGCTGTGGTCATGAGGTAAAATCCAGTAAATTAAAATCATGGGGAAAAGAGTGCAGACATTTTAGACCTAGCTTTAGCGTTTGTTTTATTTGTAAAATGTATGTTGGTTGTAAGAATTTTGGCGTCTAACCACATGGTTTCAGGTTCAAACCCCGACATGTTGCATCTATTGTAGCATGTGGTAGATGTCGGAAACTTTAATCTAATTTTAAAGCTCTGGTACCTAACTTTCCAAACCCCAAAATATATATTTAGTCTGTGTAGTTACTTGCCTTGATGAAGACCTGGAAGGGGTCGAAACGCAACCCAATGTCTCTACAATATATTTCATTTACCTCAGACCTTTTCCTCTTGGTTTTCTACATTATGTACAATAGTTTTTGCTTTGGTTCTAGCACTAGCTTTGAAGGATTTTACTGATTGTTACTAGTTAAGTATTTGTATATTTTCCCATACATATTAATTTTATCACAAGCCCACCATATTATTCTGATGTCTCAAAGTCCTTCCTACAGGCCACCGTCATGCATACAATTTTTGATTATATATTGTCACCACTTCTGGACACATTTATGAGAAAAAAAATTAGACCATAGTCAAGATAAGCTGACAAAGATATAGAACAATCAAGTATTCCAAAATGTTTTTTACAAAAAAACATAACTTTGTACACATTTTGAAAAGGAGTTGGATGAAGCACACGCAGAGAAAAATCCAATTTGTTCAACATTCAACACAGTCAATATGATTCAGAACAAAATTTTTCCACAAATAATTCACAACGGTAGAAAAGTTACACAAAATACACACTTGCATGCACTCACACACACACACACACACACCCACACACACACACACCCACACACACACACACACACACACACACACACACACACACACACACACACACACACACACAGAGAGACTATGGGTATAAAGACTAGAAGTATGATTTTTTTTAACAATAGTTACCAGGAAAGTTTTTTGTTAGCTGCCCTCCACCACAATTTTAAACTATATATTACTCTATTTGGAATGTTGTAATTTTTTTCCATTATAATATTTATTCAGACAATAGTAAATTGTACAATCATTCAACTCAATTTTTACACTACAAAGTCCTAAAAAAAACAGGCCTACATTATTTTCATTGATGCCTAATCTTAAAAATGAAAAACATGAAAAACAAAGGAAAGACAAATCAAAACATTATAAAATTAAACAAAATACAGTGGTCACATCAGATATTTTGTTGAAATCAGATCTGTGTGGAGCAACAAACAGTTTCCAGGCTTCCAAATGTTTATCAAAATTGTCCAAGTCTCATTGAACATTTGAGGTTTTCCATTCTAGAAATTGCAAAATTAACAACGTTCTAGTGTGGAACGTTGTTAATTTTGAGTCAGCGAGATCAGTTTCATGGCTCGGGACATTATTCTTGGAGACGGACAAGCAGCACATACTTCACTTACAGAAAAATTACATCTTCAGTTTTTCCCATTGACGTCACAATATTTCATTAGCATACAACATCACGTGTCCCCACAGCAGCCGGTCCCTGTCGAGTGTGAGTTTGATAGAGACATGATCCAGTGAAAAGTCCCTCCTCCGTTCCCCCCCACTGAGCCCCACAATGCAGACTGGCAGCTCTAATTCCACGCTCCCTTTATCTCCCCCCGCGCTAAACCCGCTTCTCCAGTTCCAAATGGGAATAGAGAGACTGAGAGAATAGAGATTTTTCACGTATTTGTTTACTTTTTTTTATTCCAGGAGTTGTGTGTTTGGCTGCATTTTAGGAACGGCGTGGACTGTAATCAGGCACAGTTGTATCAGTGGGGATTAAACATGGATCTAATACCAGAGCCAGTTGTTAGCCCTGTATTCGTATACTTTTGTGAGTAGTTCAAGGCTTACAGGATGGAGCAGCTCTATAGAGTTATTATATAATTGGAAATAACCAAGATCTGGTGTCATAAAGATCTCACAAGTTTCAATTTCACCAGAGCTGACATACACTGTACGCGATTGTGAGATTTCTTTGCGTTCGGCTTGGACACAAAATTGGCTAAATGAGCGGACTGGGTTGCACATTTTGAAATAGCCTTGAACAGCAGAGCTTCAAAGGCAAAGATATGAAATAAAGTCAATGATAAATGTGAAGTGGCAAAAAAGGGAACCCAAAATGCAGGTGTACAAAGTGTAATTTAAATGGAATAATACCAAATCCAGGGTAAAAATAAAACGCAAAAGCCCAGAACTAAGAACAAACCAGGAATGAACGTGGGATAGACAATGGACAGACGACGAGGGAGATGTTATGAATACACAAGGAGACACATTGATTCACACATTAGGGCGGGACAAAGAATCAATGGGACGGGAAGGAGAACTCAAAAAAGCAAAACAGATTAGTCAAAGTAGCAATATGTAAGATTTTCATGTTAAGTCATCATGAAATGGCCCTAATATCTCAAAAGGCATTAATAAACAATCCTCTTTTTGAATACTTCTTCAACTGATGAGAGTAGTTCAGCCAAGATATTCAAATTTCAAAATTGGATTTAAACCCCCTAAATCTTGTATTATTTTCATTTTGATGTCCCGCCTTGCACCGTTTTGCCAATCAGAAACCGCGTCGAGCTAATCTCACTAGTAAAGCAAGATATGGCCGTAGTACTAAAAAAGGTCTTGTTTTTATTCTCAAATCATTAATAACAAAACAAGGAATAAAATGAGGATTTCTATCGGGGATGTCTTTGTGAAAAACTCTTGTCTATTCAGCTGTTATGGTCCCAGCTGGATTCGTCTGCATATCTGGCAATCAGAGTGAGAGTGAGAAAGACTGCAGTACCCCTTTTGGCCAGATTTCCTTTAACAAAATTAATGAATTTTCAAAATAAGGAACCACTCATAATAAGTCCACATCTCAACATATATTTGGAAGGAGCATTGCTTTAAATGTGTTTTTAAAAGCAACAATGCAATCAGAAAATTACAGGCTTTTAAATTTCTCTTCATCTCTTTTGGTTTTGGGTCCAAATAAAAAAAAAAATCTCTAATTTTACTTATTTTGGTGGTATGGTAAAATGATTAGTTTAATGTATATTTGAAGGGACACTACACCACATATATACAGAGGTACTTCACTTTGACTTAATGAATAATACATGTTGTTTGTCCCAACAGAAAAGTATAAAACTACATACTAACACTGTATCACGATGAAATATGAAACATTTGCACAAACATGTCGGGGAACAAAGACGAGTCACATAAATAGTGCAACTGTTGTGAATGACTCTTGCTGCAAGTGCAATAATTCTCCCTATAATTAAAGTTTAATGAAACACGTAGTAAAAGCTCTGTAACCACAGACAGCGCACAGCCAGGGTGGAACTGCGCCGGTTTGGTAATTGATTTTAAAGCTAGAGCGACTTAAGATGCAATCTAAATCCAACAGGCTTTTTAGTGTAAACTAGGCCGAAAAGTACTCAAAGCTACACATAAGTCTGACTGCTTTAGCATATACAAGTACAAAGCCAATTCAGGAAATCCACTCGTGCCATCTGGCTCTTTGGGAAAACATCAACGCCTTCTATGGCCTGGTCTTTTCCTCTGTTTTTCAAATCTTGAGGTCCAATATTATCAACTTTACACATTTTCTATTGGGTGGATTGTGAAGCGTTGTTAAGAGACCACATCAAGCAGCTTCAACATTCTGAGTTCCTATAAATATTCAATTAAACTCAATTCAATTCAAAGTGTTTTTGTATAGCCCTAAATCGCAACTGCAGTGGTCTCGAAAAACTTCACGAGGTTGTCGATTCATCAGCAACAGATCTGAGAATCAAACAGTTCGAACTCAGGAAATGCAATAATAACAAACACATAGGAGCCATTGGTCCTTTGACAGCGGGATAACCGATGTTCATAAATGTTAATAATAGTCTCTGAATGACAAAAAAAAGGGAAAAAAGTGAGAAACGGAACAGGCTATAGATCCAGGACTCCATCATATCAGTCTACACCAATCATATCGCAGAGGGTTTTTAGAACGTCAAAGTCATATTTTAATTTGATTAACATGAATAAAACTACATTTAAATTCTTATTCTCGAGAGCAGTGGTGCGCAAGAATATTACTGGGGCACTCTAAGTCATTTTCAAGTATTATTATTAACCATGGTATAGAATGTATCACACACTGTATACAGCTATTTATCTGTGTAATTCAAAACAATGCATTTAATAATTATGCTTAGTCTGACAGTCTGCAATAACAAGACTTACTTACGTTTGGTCCAGGTTTGGTTCAGTCCAAGCAAGAGAAAGCAGTTCATTATTTCACCATTATTTTTATGATACAGTTTGCCTGGTTGGGTGTATAAACTCGGGTTGTTGGGTGGATATTTCACTCCCGTCTTTGATTTAACAGGATGCAATTTGCTTCGATGACAATATTAAGCGTTCACATTTTTGTTCAACGATATAATCATTGAAAAGCTTATTGAAATACCATTATACATACTGTAGCTGGTCGTACTGTAGATTCCCCAAGAGGCTGGTGTTGAAAGCAGTGTTAGAGTAGACCCCCCTCTTCATCCCCTGCTGTCCCATATCACTGGTGTTGACAGTTCATGGGACAGAGGCCTGCTCTTTGAAGGTGAACCACGGACTATGGTCTGGAAGGCCCGGACGCAAAACTCAGCCACTCCTCTCTTCATGGATTTACAGTAGGATAATAGATAATAGTTAAAATCATTGGGATCCTTACATTATCCTTATGTATACAGGTATAATTAGCAATGTGACTTTACAATAGGGACTGGTTAAGTTTGCGAGATTTCAGCAATCACCAGAGATTTATATTGGTTTAGTATTGGTTTAATACTTTTTTATATATTGGATGATTGAGGAGGAGTTGGTGGCCAGGTTGTAATTGAAGTCATATCTTAACTGCCAATTGGTTGATAGGAACATTTTAAACAAATAAAATAATGGTTACTCGGGAGGTGAAGTGCTCATTGTCGTTTGTGTGTGAGAAACTGAAACATTTATGCGAAGAATTGGACCAAATCTTCAGGCCAACATGGGATCAAATAGTGTGATGACCTGGGAAAAACAGTACCATCAAGTTATTTGGTCTCATTTTGTTGAAAAAGGGTTAAGTATAAGTATGTAACCCAGCTGCTGTGATATTCTGCTCACTTGTCCGTAGGTTTTTAAGTCTTGGTAGTGAGTGGTTATTGTGTTACATCGAGAATCTATGCATACATTCCTGATTGGGTTAGTCGGTTCACACATAGAACAAATGGCTGGGTCCTTTTGACAGGTCGGCGTGTTTTGCTCAATCCAATATTTCTCAGATTTTTGTTTACGAGAAATCCCATTTGACTGGGAACACTGAGGAAAATATTGAAATATAAGTTAAAAAAGGCTTGGATTAAGCGTCTTAAAACAAGATTTGGAACAAGCTGCTAACTCTTATTTTAAGAAGAGTTGCTTTATTTTCTCGTTCCAAGGGAGATATTTCTTGTATATTTTTAAAACAAGATTATTTTGCTTTGTCCCATTGGTAAATCTTGTTGTAAGGCAGTCAAAATTGGCTCAAATTAAGATACATTTTGCCAAAGTTTAGCAATTTTGTACATATATTTTTACCACTTCTTGCGAGTGCATACACGCATGTGAAAGCCAGATCCTGTCAGACCTCTGAAGCAGTGCAGGGCAGGGCCTGGTTAGTACTGTGATGGGAGACCTCAGGGAACACCAGGTGCCAAAGTGGGGCGGCTGCGGCTGTCAAACGGCAAACTATTGTTGTGTCCTTAGGCAAGACACTTTTCCCACATTGCCCTAGAATGAGTCTGGTGTGTGTGTGAATGGTTGTTGGTGGCCGTAGGGGCCAATGGCACATACTGGTTGCCTCGCTTCAGTCAGTGTGCCTCAGGGCAGCTGTGGCTACAGTTGTTCATCACCACAGTGTATATAGTGAATGTCACGTTAAGCATCCAAAGAGCGCTGTATAAAACCAATGCATTATTATTATTAAAATGGAGCAAGCGTTTGTTTTTTGTTGTAGCATGGTAAAATATCAAATAAATCTCAATTCGATGGTAAAGATGGTAAAGAATTTTAACACATAAATCAACTCTTCTCACTTGCATTTACTGCTCTACTCTCTCAGACACCCCTCTCCCCTCACTTCATCTCTGTCCCACATCGCTGGTGTTGACAGACCAGACTTTGAAGGTGAAGCGGGGACTGTGGTTGAGCTGGTGGACTGGTCGTGGTGCAAGGTCGGGTTGTCATTCCGGAGTGGTGGTCACCTCTGCTCTCATACATTATAGATGGATTATAGATGGCTGCTTGTCCCCAACATGTCTCTGGGGGGACCAATGGGACAAAGCGGACAAATGGAGGGATATAAAGATCGTAGAGAGGAGGTCAAATCATGCTCGGCAGATGACAAACCGTGGCTCTGTCTGATCTTCACTCGGCCAAATTTGTCAAAAACTCAAATTAGTTCATTTTGCTGCACTCCACACGTCCAGCATGATGTGTTGCCTGATGCTGAAGCTAGCTAGAGTTAGCCTGAGTTTATAGGATTAATAGAGGGGGTGTCAAACTGTGGGTTTAGGGCCCAAGTTAAAATGAGGTAATTAAAGATTATTAAATAATTTTTGTTATACATTTAAAACAACATTTATTATTTTCTGAGTGTATTGTTTTCTTTTAAAATCCCCCGTTTCACTAAAATAATCATGTTTTTTTGTACTTTGACTTACATTGAACTGGAATTTGGATTTTTTTATTTTCTTATGTCCTTGTTGAACAAAAACTAGAAAGAATAATAAAGAATGAGCAGTGTTGAAAACCTTTTTTTTTTTTACTGCTATTTAGTTTTGCTTTCAATGCTTTTAATCAGTTAAATCATATGTTTTATTGAGAAAATTAGCTTTAAAATTATACATACCATACCATGTAGGCCATATTAACCATCTATGAATGTAATAGGCCTTCTGATGAATTCATTTATATTTAAAAATCCTTTTTTGGCGCCACTAAAAAGTACTTTCTAAATCAAGTGCTTTATCCAGATCACGTTTTGTCAATTGGGCATCATATTTATTGAAAATGTATTGTGTACAGGCTCTTTCCGCTGTATTTAACTTGAATTTGAGTTTCCAAGATGAAAAAAAATAAAAATGCACATTGGAATAGGTATAAAAAAGTGTTACTATTCTTGGTCTTATTACGTTATTGTGTTCTGTGGTCAATCATGAGTAAAAACAAACTAGTATTGGCAATGTCAGTGTACGTTTTTTCGTTTTTTGTTTACTTTTCTATAGCTTGTTATATACTTGTAGCATACATATAAAGTATTTCCTACAGGCCTAGCTCTATTGTCTGTTATTCCCCCCTCTCTAAATGTCTTTGTTTGTTCAAAACGTGATACATCGAAGCCGTGCGTTGGTTGGTTATTTTCACTTAAAGCTGGTATTTGGATAACTCGCCATTCCAGTGCAGTTGTATTAGTTACATACATTAGACATGTTCTCACGTAGCACGCCAAGCTTTGATGAGATCATGGGAAGTTTGCCCAGTCAAATAAAGTGGAATAAGTCAGAAATGCTCAGCGACCTCTAAGGGGGCTACACCATATTGACTTTTCTTTGCACAAATCAGGCTGTCATCACATAGGACATCAAGCTGGAAGAAGGAGAGACGGGGAGGAGAGAGAGGGGGTCCGAGAGGCTTCGGGATCGGGCTGAATAGGAGAGATGGCCTTTCGGAAAGCAATTGTGAATACTTAAATAGTTGAACCTTTTGGTGAAAAATTAATACGCCAAACTCAAGCCACTTACATTTAATTAAAAAGCCTGAATTAAAATGGTAAATTATACCAACCATACATGAATAAGAATACAGCATAGCTTAAACCATGTACAGTATATAAAAACAGGGCCGTCGATCTTTCGTTTTTCTCGACTGTTGACAAACCGAAATGTGTTTTAGTTGTATTTCTACGGAGCAAATTTTTTTAAATCATTGGTATTTACTTTGATGCTCAAGCAAAATCAACACTCAATTCCAACTTGAAAGTGAATGTCAGCTACTTAAGAGTGGAAGTTTCCTGATTGGTCAAAAATGAATTCTAATCCGAGAGGCCCTTTGCCATTGGTTTAACTGTTCTCCTCCAGAAAATCTTACTGCTCATAGTTCTGCCAAGGGGAAGAATGTAAAGGTTTTTTTTTTTTTAAATCTGCACATAAGTTTTCCACCCCATAGTCAAAAATATACAATACACAACATACATAAAAAAAAAAAATCATTACAATTCAAGTTTTCTGACATCACCTTTAAAGACAAAATATAATGCATATAAAAGAATATATGTACTTAGTCATTTCATATTTGACAAAACAAGCATGAAGGGTAAAAAATGCGAATTGCCTGTAACTCCCTACGCTACCAACAGAGGGAGGTGTTGAATTTGTTTTAATTTTTTTTTTCATATTCTGCGGATTGCACATATGTCTCCTAATGCAAAACACTGACCTCCTCTTCTCTCTTGTCCCGCAGATTCGTCGGGGCAGGTCAGCTCCTCTCCGCTGGGCTCCCCCACATCCCACAGAGGGATGCACCCGTCCCTGCTCAGTCCCACCTCCATGGGTCCCGCAGGGTCTCTGCACTCGCCCATGAACGGCCTGGCCTCCCCCTTCTCCGTCATCAGCTCGCCCATGGGCCCTCACTCCATGAACTCCCCCGGGATGGGCTACGGACCCAGTGTTAGCCCCCAGGTAAGCTCCGACAAACAGTAAGAGGAGATACAAGACGTTTTAGCTCAAGATCCAATGATGTAATGATGTGTTTTGTTTATTTATTTATTTATTTATTTGAGATTCTGTTAAAACACATGCAAGATATTTAATTTGCATTGCCAGTCAATTGCAAGAGTGATATCATTACTGACAAGGAGTACACGAAGAACACAATACTCAAAAGGAGAAAGTTTATTTCCATGTTTATACATTTTTTTAGGTCAATGTTGCACTGTATTCAGTAGGGAAATCTCAGCATACAGTATAAGAACTGAAAGTAGGAAGCTATAGATACACAGGTCAAATAGTACAAATATTAGTACAGGTATTACAGTAGGAGGTTTCAGATGAATATTTACAATAATGGCTCTGACTACGGATGAACAGAAAAAAATAAATGATTTGTATATTATCTATCTGATGACGTGAGATGTCAGTACTGCTGCATGTCTATTGTTAAAGCTGGGGCACCTAACTTTCTTTTTTAACATAAATTATATATTTCGATTTTGAAGGATAGGTAAGAAAAATAGAAGTTAAGGCACTGCAAGACAATGTTCAAGACTCTCCTCCCCCTCTTCTTCTCCCTGGGGTGGCTTTGTTATAAAGCCTGATGGCATGGAGGACAAAAGAGTTCTTAAGACTGTCCTTGGAGCCTCTTAGAGAGAGGTCTGGATCTCATGGTGCTTCACTGGTAGGAGAATACCAGGAGAAACAACAGCATGAAAAAAGGACACTAGACACAATAGACTGGAAAACATGTACAGTAACTTAGAACAGACCCTGAATGATGCCAGCCATCTGAGAAAGTATTATATTTATATTGCTCTAATGTTCCTTAAAACCTATTGTCATTTGTGTTATCCAAATTGTCAATGTGCATTATGTTTGGGCCTTACATTCTTCTCTATATCATATAATTCAGTTGTCTGGAGCTGATCTTCATTGTTCTGAATTGGCCGGTCATTTGTCCACATCTGTCTGTTGGGGATTATTAAAATCAACAACTTTCCATGGGTTGACACAAAGCAACATTGGTCACAATGTTACTCGCATTCTCCTTCTCTTCTTATAATGACCAAAACTTTTTGACCTGCTGACTGAAATAAAAAGAAAATGTTGGGGAAATAAGTTTAATGCCAATCCAGCATAACAATATATTACATCAATAGATACATGATAGGATGTGAAATACTGTGCACAGAACCAAGATTTGACTATGCAATTCGGTTTTTTTTTGCTTTATTAAATAGCAATGAAGCCTAAAGTCTCCACAAACTTGGCTTGTAATTAGCCTGGGGTTATTTTCTCCAGCTTGTCTTCCATGCTCCTGTTCCCTTAACTCTGAGTCTTCCACAAAACCAAAAGCCTGTACAGTATATACTGAGGAAAATGACAAAGTCTTGGATCGTGTCAGATAGACAGAAGGTCGGATGTATAGAGACGAGACACGAACAAAAAATTTCAGAATCCAAGTGATACTATAGCATGGGCAATCAGAATTTGCTTATTCAGATAACAAAAACATTCCAGTAGTGAAAAGTAAACTCCTCCATTTTGGAAAAAATATGGTTCTATGATCCTGGTATTGTTATTTTGGTAGTGTCTTTGTGAATCCAGATATGATCATAAACAACAGACCAATCAGGTGCCTTCTGTCCCAAAATGTCGCTTCTGATTGGCTTTTTGGTTGCTTGGCAGTTGCTACCCAATAATGTGGCTGCAAATTCTACCGTCAATATAAATAAAATACTGTTGTAATTTTCTGTTTGCATTTGACCCATGGAGCTTGCAGGACTTAGTGAGCTGGACAAATTAGCCATAGGAAACCAAACTATAAGAGACCACGCAAACCATCGGAGCCTGAACCTCCTTCCACTGTCCCACTGCTCCTTCTGTCTCACAGCAGCCGTTTCTCTGCCGTCATTCACGTTGCTTAATAAAACTCACTCAGACATCAAAGCTCGGAGTGACCCAGATTCCCACGTGAAAGACGGCGAAATGGAAACGTGTCCTGTGTTCCGTACAGTTACTGCGCTTTTTGTGTCGGCTCATAATAGTTCTCCAGTGAATCACCAGTGGAGCTTATCGATGCCTCTCTGTCCTGTGTGGAACGGATTAGCAACAATAACAGAAGAACGGACGCAGGAAAATGATGATGATGATTGGAGGTAGCAGTTTAGAATCATATTTACATCATTTTGACAGGTTAATCCATTTTTAATCCTGAAATTGAGGATGACGTTTAAGCTTTGGTTATATTTCTTATTACAATTTAAACCAGACAGATTACTATTATTTTTTGTTATATTTAAACAATACTTTACATTGATGGTTGTAATTCTAAAGGTTTTATGTTTTGAAATGAAATGTCTTATGAATTGCCACATCTTAATCTTGGTATTGGGTTTAGGTTTATGGGGTTAAATGTCTAAAATTCTCTAACTGGTCTGTAAAATAGTCAAAGTTTGGAGACCAACAGATTTGCTGTCGATAGTTTGTGTTCTTGACTAATGACTAGAGTAAATTAAAGATGCTATACCCAATTTTTTTTTTTTTTTTATGAGTTCATAAAAATGCTTATTACTACATACAAGTTGAATTATAATCCGTACTTTAATTGACAACTTGAGCTAATTGATTCAGCTTTTGTATGAATTCAGGCCGTAAAAAGTGCTGAGTAGAGACTTAGCCAGCTCTTCTCCACTCACAGAACGAGGAGTGAACAGGCTGCGTCCTCTAGCTTCTACAGCGCTGGTAAACAAGAGTAGATTGGAGGCAGAAAGTGCCTATATACCTGCTCTTGCTGTAACTGCAGACACAGCAAAACAGCCCGAACGATGCAACAGTGAGGAAGAGAAGAGGAAACTAAGGCAAAAAAATGATCAAATAATAAATCCAGCCCAGGTGAATATAGCTTACATCGTATCCTCTCAAGTCACTCCAACTTGTCTATGGGAGAGACCTGCGGGACCGCCTTCAGATTCAGATTCATTTATTTGCCATTTGCAGTAAAACCACATTGGAAAAACTGTGCAAGACTACCCCAGTGTGCGCCAGACAGAGAAGACGACACACACCAGAGCTCTTGCCTCGGACTATCTATGCTGGGACTATCTATGCTCAGACTATCTATGCTGGGACTATCTATGCTTGGACTATCTATGCTCGGACTACATTCGGACGCGGAACTAGTGGTAATCATTGATTGTTGTACAGCTTACAATAAGGTGCGCTAATGCTAATGTTTGCATATGTATCAGATCGCAAATAAAACTAGCTCCGTGGAATGAGAGCATAGGGGCAATGAGAAGCCAGTGAGTGAGTTGAGGGGCGGTGCAAAACATTCAAACCTTGCAGAAACGGGTATAGCTTCTTTAATAAACTAAACTAAACCTACCAAACGGGTATAGCTTCTTTAATAAACTAAACTAAACCATACCTTTTTATCAGTAAAACATAACAAATTATGCTCTTTAAAGCAGTTGTGCATTAGTGTCCTTTTCGAACTTACTATTTTCTTTCTGTCTCTCTCTTTATAACATCCCTTCTCTCAGGTTACATGTTGACTGTGTCGCTAGCTTACCCAGAAGAGCGCACTCAACATTCAATTTCCTGAAGTCGTTTTACAAGGCCAACATTACACGTTTAGGACTGTGTGAGCACAAAAGCACGCTCAATTTACTTTTACGCCACCTACCAATAAGCACTGTAGACCAAGGCCGTGTGGGAGAGAGTGGAGCAGCTGCCAAGCCAAGGTGACAAGATCAAAATAGACAAAATGTAGTATAAATCCACTGACAAAAGATAATTCAAATAGGTTATTTCACTGTACAATTTGCAGCTCTTTGGCTCAGGATTGCAACAGAGAGAACTTGAGGCTGTCAAGAATGCCACATATTTGTTCAATAAATCTTTTTTAAACATTCTTTTAAATGTGATCAGGTTTGAGCAGGTCTTTAATTCATCTGCGTGTAATAAATGAATTCATACATTTTCCATGGTCATAACATTTTTGCATGAACCTATTCCTATAATATAGAGTCAGGGTCGTTATATTGTGTAAAAACATATAAGAAGACCGTTGTACATTTCTATTCACGTGTCTCAAAGTTGGGAAACCTAACATCCTTCACTCTTTGAAGTTTTCACGTATGTACTTTTGGGCTTCTGTCACATCATCAGTTTTTTTCAGACAGAAATTTTAGCCTGTAAGTAAATAAGTAATCTTTGTAGCGCATTTTACGGACCATGGTTTCCCCAAAGCACTGTACAATTGTTGAGAGTTGAAATGATATATAGATTACAGATACATGAGCTTGTTTTGTGGTGTTGGAAGCCTGAGACCTTGAGAGTATAGAGTCATTTTGAAGACTGTGAAATTCTCTGGATGAATGACCTGAGTCCAGAGTAGAGCAGTAGAACTCTGGGATCATGTTGTAATATATCATCTGTAGCTGTGAAACTTGTAAAGATATTGATGATTAAAACATTTATTGGAATATATCTGGTTAAACTAAAAAGAGCATCCCAATAATCCACACTAGCTTTTTTTCATTTATATTTTGAATCACACCCCTTGGTGCTTTTCTACTCACTCTTTTCTAACCCCTTTTGCCTCGCTCAGAATTCATTCTCAACCGGCAACGCTCTGTCTAGTCCTGGTAATTGTCAATGAAATTCTTTTAAACTTGAAACAATGCTGCGAGACCGCTTTCGAGTTCAAAGTCGCGCAGATGACATGGCGATGAAAGCCCAAGATGATCCAACAATGGTCCCATTCTCACTCAGCTGAATCCCTGCTCAAAAACCAAACCACATGTAGAAAACCACTAGCTTTTTATCAACCGCCAACTCCTGCATCGCATCATTTATCTTTACCTCTATTTCGCCCGGAACACCAGACACATCTGCTCAGTGTATTTTGTCTTTTCCATTGTATTGGTGACGGGAAGAGGCTTTGTGAACGGTCAGGCTAACATATTGTGACAACTTTAACC